AGGCATGGTGGTGTCCTCTGTCTCGCTGCGTCTGTGCTCGATGCTTTTTTTTCCTTCGTCCGGAGAGATTTTTACTTGCAAGCATTCTTTTTCTATTTTTGAATATTTTTATCGTGCACACCGCACAGCTTCTTGGCGTCCGCTCGTCAGTTTCAGTCCTTCTTTGCCTTCCATTCTCACCTAAGTGCGCGAAACGCCGTCTGCGCTTCCCGCTGATAGCTTCAGTCCTAACTCGAGACATCCGAATCCCTGCATAATCCCTGCTACAAAATCGGTGGTGCTTATGTATGCTAATTGATCCGCCGCCCGCGCTACTGTGCCCTTTGCTTTCCTCCGACCCAAAGTCCAGGAGGACGAAGCGATACGAGCATGCGATCCTGCTATGGAAGGCGGCCTCTCCACGCCACGTCCTCTCTTTCAGACCGGTCTCGCCCGCAGCTGGCAGGGTCATATCCCCATCTGGGGCCTGCCCCTAGCACCTGCCGAGTCATTGATCGGTTGCACTCTCCCCCCTCGTCACTTTCCCCGCCCCACGCCAGACGCTCTTGTCGCCCTATGAAATCCCTCCCCTCCCCAACCCTCACCACCCTTTGCCTCTGTATTTACACTGCCTTCTCCTTTCCTTCCCTCCTGGAAACGGCCTAGACCGGGCCAGTGGGAGGACCTTCTACGCTCCCGAGACCCTCCCTCGTCGTCCCCTGCCCCAGACGTTTCCCCCCCCGGGCGCAACCCCTTGCCACCGCCCCCCTAGGGATGGAAACTTTCCACGGAAAGGCATGGCTTAGAACTCTTGAACGATCGTCACCACGTCCAAAATCACCGTCCAACAGAAGGCCAGCACCACGAAGGCCACCAAGGCCCGCCCCCCCCACAAATTCCGACGGTCTCGGCCTTTTCCTTGGCTCTCCCGCTGGTGGTGGACGTTCCGGGGGAGCCAGGGCAGGCCGATCAAACCTGTCGGGGAAAGTCGGGGAAAATGCGAGGAGTATTAGGGGCTGGCTTGGCGTAAGGGGGGAGGGGCTTGCCCGTGGCAGGGGTGTGGAAAGCGAAGCGGTGTTCGTGGGGAAGCTGGGGGAGACGGAGGGCCCGGGGTCGAAGGGGAGAGAGCACAGCCTCTTTCCCCCCCTCTCCTCCCCTCCCGCGAGCATACAGGGAAAAAAGGCAAAAGCTCCTTACCAAGCACCTGGGCGAGGGCCGTGAGCAGGGAGACCTTCCAGATGCCCCCCCAGTGCCCTTGTTCCACCGACGGTTCGTCCACGGGCCAGATCCGGAGGGCGAGGAGGCTGAGGTTGTTCCCGGTCATGATGGCGAGGGAGTTGAAGGTCTGGAGGGTGGCGAGGGTGGTGCCCTCGGCGCCCTTGGGGCAGAAGCCCAGGTAGAGGATTTGCAGGGGCAGCTGCCGGAAGCCCTCCAGGAAAGCGTCGAGCA